CTCTGATTGCTTGGAGGAAGCATTTAAGCTTAAAAAGGATCTCACTTCTGCTACAGCATGGGGCTCAGAGTGGCTGGTGAACTTTAATTCAGATAAAAAAATTTTTTTCAGCCAATCGTTATAGCAATAATTTAGACCATCCTATATTTATGAAAGGTAATGTACTTGATGAGTCATCTACCCTTCATCTTCTAGGATTAACTCTTACTTCTGATCTTTCTTGGAAACCATATATCAAATTGGTTGCAAAATTAGCATCTGCTAAAGTTGCATCTCTTTATCGAGCTCGACACTTTCTTACTCTGGATTTTATTCTCATCCTTTTTCTGTGACTGTTCCTTAGTGCTCCAAAAACTCTTACTCCTCTAGTTTTTTCCCTCAAACATCAGTTCTTTGGAATTCACTTCCTTCATCTTGCTTCCCTGATTCATATAATTTGCAATCTTTTAAGTCGTCTGTCAATTGTTATCTTGCTCTACAATCTTCATCTTTTCTCTTCCAGTAACTTCCAACACTAATTAGTGGTTGCTTGCAGCCTTGTTGGAACCAAAGATGTTTAAAAAAAAAAAAAATTTCTGAAGATTCTGCAGACTACTTTATTTTTACAACATGTTCCTCTTCTTTTATCAATATTCAATCCAATATATACCATTTACAAGAGTGTTTTGAGAAAGTCAAAAAAAAAAAAGTAATAATGTCTCAATTAGCCAACACCTGTCTCTATATTAACCAACATGTTTTAACTCTGATCATTGGCAAACTTTTAACATTTAACTTCTTTAACAAAACTGTCTATCTAAAATAAAAAGTTCAAAAAAAAAATTTTTTTTTAAAGTATTTTGAAGAGTTTAAAGAGCTGTTTTGGAGAAGGTATTTATGCTTCAAAAAAGTGTTTTTGAGCTATGCAGGTTACAGATTGTTTGGCGTATAAAAAAAAGGAATTCTAAAAACTGATATTATGGACCATTTTCCCATTTTTGTAACAAGACCAACTTATATCTATCTTATATCTATACAAAGAATTGTAAAGTTTTTTTTTTTTTTGTTATCTTTTAAATGTACGTATTTCATAAAAAATTGTCGAAAGTTGTTACTTTATTAAAAAAATTTTAAAAGTAATTGCTCAGCTTACGTAAGCTGAGCAATTAATATTTTATTCTTGTATACAAGAATAAAATACTTATTAAAATAAATTACTCAAAAAATGCTGAGTCAAACCAATTGCTTTTTTATATTCATCTGGGCTATAAACAATTATTACAACTTTTAAACAAACAAAAAAACTATATTTCTGGTCTAAAAATTGAACAGAGAGATCAGAGCCAAATTTTAAGATTTTAAAAATAATATTTACGAGAATAAAAAAAATTATAAATTTCAAGGTTTCTGTCAAGCATATAAAACACCCAACAAATATGGAACAAAATTAGGTTGGCTGGGACTCTAAAATTATCAAAAAAATTTTTTTTTTGCTTAACCACATCTAAATATGTATATCAATTTATAAATCAAGGTACAAGTTTAATTTGAAAAATTGATAAAATATGAAACACCCTAGTATATATGTATGCTTGTGTTAAGTCACCTGTAAGTTCCTGTATGTTTATTTAATTATTAGTTTTATTAACTTTGATATTAAACAAATTTTATTAAAAACGCAATTGTTGTTGAAAGTATTGTTTTTATAAAAGCAATGATACAAATAGTTTTAAAAGATTTACATTTATTATAAAAAATACATACATTTTTAAATAATAAAAAATCAATCTATATTTATATAATTACTAAATTTTGTAAAATTTTTAATAAAACTTATATAATTTTAAAATGTTAGAATTTTTTCTTAAAAACAATCAATAAAATCTTGTTTGAAAGGACTTTCCTAATATAAAAACATTAATTACAAGACATTATTGTTTTGAAGCTCATTTTTTTAGAGTGTTGAAATTTAGTTTTTCTAACATACATAAACTTGAATGTTCTCAAAATGATAAAAGATTACTAGATTTTTTTTTTAATGTTAATTCACCTTCCCAAGGCCAAAAAGGCCACTACCAATAAGGAGGCTACTTATGGTTATAACCATTTCTCAACTCTATAACTCAGAAACACAAGCCTTGATGAACAAGTCCGCTTTGTGGAGACACAAGTTGAGCGTGGTACTATCAGGGACGTTGTGGGAATCGAACTTGGAACCTCTCGCTTATGAAGTGAGCGTTCTACCACTACACCACTATCAACATCCGTCCAACAAAATCTGTAGAGAAGTCCAAGATCATCTGCACACTTTTGTCCAAGATCATCTGTATTTTTCTTTTACTCTAATATCTGTCCAATATCATCTGAAAATTCAATGACCCCTAACAACATCTTTAGAAAGATGTAACTACATCTGGTATATTTTCTTCAAGTCCAATAACATCTGGAAGAATTTTTTAGATCTGAAAAAATTTCTGTGTAACTACATATGTTTAAAATAATGCATTATTAGTTAATATTTTTTTCCAGATATAATTGCATCTGAAAAAAGTCATATATGTAATTACATCTGGTTAAAATAATGCATTATTAGTTAGTTCATCTTAAAAATAACTTTATTTTAAAATCTACAGATGCAGTTGCACAGATGTTATTATACTTTGATAATTTAAAAGATGTAACTACATCTGTAATATTCATTTAATTTTTGCACAGAAGTTATTAGACACCAATGAAATTTCAGATGTTATTGGACAGATGTTATTAGACGTCAATGAAAATTCAAATGTTGTTGGACAGATGTTATTATAACTCATTATATTTGCAGATGTTGTTGGACAGATGTTACTAGACATGGCAAAAACTGATGTTGCTACCCTGACTCTTCAAAACATCTATAAAGCCGTGGCCAAAATGTTGCAACTAAATATTACATGTTTTCACTTTATGTGAAACAGAAATTCTCTTTTTATTGATTAAATTTATAATTTATTTGTCTCTCTGACAAAACTCTTTTAAAACCTGGAAGATGGAAGATATAATTATGCTATTTTAGCACACAAGTACATGTGCATACCTGCAACTTCAGTGCCATCAGAACGCGCTTTCTCAACAACTGGGCATGTGGTTAATTGACAACGTGCATCTTTGGCACACGAAACAGTGGACATGCAAGTATTTCTAAATTGTAAATAGGAGTTGTGTAAACTAGATACTTAAAGTAAAATAAAATTTAGATATAAGTAAAAAAGAACAACTTTAAATAAATGATATAATTGAATAAAAAGTTTTTACTGAATGTTTATAAGAACAACTTTTTCAAAAAATATTGTTTTTTTAACTTGTATCTGTTCATTCTTTAACGGGTACCCGGAAAAGTATTTTCATGATTTTTGACAGCCTTACTGAGTAGTAGCATGATGATTTACCGCATTTAAATAACTCATTTTAGCTAAAATTATTAAAAATAATAACTTTTATTGTTATTATTTTTTTAAATTTTATTATTAAAATAAAAAACTATTTTGTAAACTATTACAAAACATTTTGTTTTTAAAAAAGCAAAAAATGCAAACAATTAGTAAAAGTTTTATTTTTATTAAATCAAAAAATTGTCTTAATTTGTATTAAATCAAATAACTTGTATTAACCTTTGTTTAATGCGGAATTGGTGTAGAGTTGAGCACTCCCTTCATAAGCAAGAAGTTCCTAGTTCAATCCCCACCATGTTTATCATAGTACCACACTTAATTTGTTTCTCTGAGCAGCGGCCTTGTTTGTCAAGGTTTTTGTTTTAGAGTTAAAGGGTTAAGAGAGGGTTGTAACCACAACAAAGTAGCCTCCTTGACAGTAGTGGCCTCTGGACCTTAAGAAGGTGAATAAAATTTTAAAAAAATCTTGTGTTAAATAACTTGTATTAAACCAAACAACTTTTAATTTTTAAGAATTAAAGTGTAACCATGTGTCACTATAAAAAAAACCATGACCTCACATGCAGTCTGCAAAATTTAGGTCGGCATTTGGCAATGCTGATGCAAAAGCTGACCTATCTAAACTTTATGAAGGCATACAACTGGCGACCTAAATCTCTTAAAGTGTCAGCATGCAAAAATAAATATATATAAAAAATATGTAAAAACATTCATTCATTATAAGTTCATAATTTATTGTAATTGCTTGTTTTTTCAAGTTTGACAAGTTTTATTTGAAAAAAAAAATGTATTAAATTTTTTTCAAAACATTTTTCTTTTTTTTTTTTCAAATTTATTCAAGCATTTTTCAAATTTATTCATTTAAAAGATAATAAAGATTACTTTTAAATATCTGTCATTTTTACGCTTTTTCACCCAAAATTTTAGCGCAATTATTATTTTATTTAGTTTTAAAATCTAATATTAATTTAATCTATTAGTTAGAACCATTCATTTACATGTTTAAAGTTTTTTTATATTTATTATATATTTATATATAATAAATTATATATTATATATTTATAATTTTTAATATTATTTAAGATCAAATAATCTATTAAGTTTAGTTTTGGTTTAGTTATGTTAAACACATGTGGAAAAGAAAGATGTTAGTTATTTTAAACACATGTGGAGAAGAGACATGTTAGTTATGTTAAAAACATGTGGAGAAGAAACATGTTAGTTAAAAAACATTAAACTTTTTTCAAATTTGATACAAGTTAAGGTTTTCATTAAATCCATTCAAAATAAGGAACACAATAGTGTTACACAAAGCAAATTCAAAACAAGTTATAATACCTAACAGAACTGTTAATGAAAAATAGGGGTTTGAATTCTGTAGCTTTCAAACAGTAGTAACTTTAATTTTGTTTAAAATTGCTGAGTATAATTTACATTTTATGGCCTTTGGAAGGTGAATTGAAATTGAAAAAAAAAAAAAAAAACTTGAATGAACTTGTGCTAAATCAAAAAACTTAAACTAACTTGTCTTAAATCAAACAACTTGTTTTAACTTGTATTAAATTAAATAACTTGTATTAAGTAAAATACCAATTAGAATAAAGACATTTTGATACTTGTGCTTCATAAGGGTATTCTTTTTCTGTTTTTAAACATGAATGAGTCTGAAAACATTTTAAATAATAAAAAAGTATTTTAAATAATTTATTGGAAGAATGTTTTATTATTTATGTCTTTATAGTATATATTATGCATTATATATTATATAAATGTTATCATTATAAATAAACTTATATTTATATAATATATATATATATATATATATATATATATATATATATATATATATATATATATATATATATATATATATATATATATATATATATATATATATGGTTTATACAAAGAGAAAAAAGTTCTTATAAAACCTGCTTCAGCCAGCTTAGTGCAGTACAAGTATTTCCACCATGGCAGCCCATTGATGGTGAACAAGATATTAGCTCTTGAGGACTTAATTCAACAATTGGCTTACCAGCTATTGCAAGATATGTTTCCACTTGCTCAGATGCAACAAAAGCCCTAAAAAAGGCTATATATGTACGCATACACATCTATACATGCACACACACATCTATATATGTACACACACACATCTATATATGTATGCGCACACACACATCTATATATGTACGCATATACACATCTATATATGTACGCACACACATCTATATATGTTTACTTTTTTAAGTTATTACAATAGAAATGATGTACATAATTTTAATCAAATTTATTTTTTAAGATAAATTATTTGGTGTATCGTCATATACGTCAAAAGACTCTTTTATTTTGATTTATTTTTTCGGATCATTGTGTTGAAAGACTTTAATTTGTTGTCCTGTATGTTTTTTATTTGTTTTGATGTATGTTTTTAATTTGTTGTCCTGCACATCTTTAATTTGTTTTAATGCATGTTTTTAACTTGTTGTGAAGTATATTTGATTTACTGTATTGTAAATATTAGTTGTGATGTAATAATTTGAAGCAATTTAAATATTTTGGTTGAAATAAATTTTTTTATGCGACAAAGTATTTTTAATCAGTTATTTTAGTCCTTAGTTGGATACAAAAGAAATGCTATCTTAAATACATACCAGCAACTTCCACACTAAAAAAAATAGAATACAAAGTAAATTGTTGAAAAATAAAATAATAATAATAAAAGTAATGCTAATAACATAACAATTAAAAACAAAGTAACACTAATAATTATACAACTATTTACATAATAATTATACAATTGCTGTATTTTACAACTATTATAAAATGCAGCTACTGTCATATTTTTCAAATAAATTAATTTAAGCTTTAACTGCATACAAATATTTCTAGTTATTCTGAACGTAATTGTTAACATAATTTGTTAAAATTTTCTCAAAGTTTTTAACAAAAACTATCATATTTTTGAGCTTTATTTTGTTTTTGTTGAGTTTCATTTTTTAAGGGTTTTTTTTTGTTGCTAAAATTTCTTTCTGTCAAGCATTTTTCATAAATTTTTATTAATAATCCATTTATATTAGAGTAACTTATGCTTTTTTATTTTTAACTATTTCACTACCAACATAATGATCATACGCCAGACCTGACATGGGACCTAGATATGTTCATTTAGTCAGGAGATTAAAGTTTTAAAACCAAAATTTTGGCAAGCTAGAGCTTTTGATAGCATTTATATATAAAGAAGTTGATTTACAAGTAGTCAGCCAATAAATTGTCGTTTTTTTTGTTAGTTTTTGATGGTTTTATATGTTGATAATAAGAAAATATTACTTGTATACATAATATTTAAATTTGGATAAATAATATACATAATATTTAGATTTGGATTTGCAATTCTAACTTAGATATACATATATCCAAACTTAAATATTATATATTTTTATATACTACTTTTATATATTACTGTTATATAAATTATTTAAATTATAATATAACTTATATTTGTAAATTTTAATAAAATTAAAAAAAAAATTGATATGTAAATGTTTACATAAAAATAAAAATGTAAAATTTATATATATATATATATATATATATATATATATATATATATATATATATATATATATATATATATATATATATATATATATATAACTTTGTAAATATATACTTTGTAAATATATGCAGGTATATAAATGAAAAACAATAAATAAATATAAAACATTGTAATATAGTAATATACTTTTAGTTTTTGCATAGTTTATTTAGATCTACCTAATAATGGTGCAAAATTAGCAAATCACAACATAGAAAAGTGTCAGAAGAAACAATGTTATTTGACAGTGATACAAGTTACAAAATATAAAAGATCAATTAGAGCAGTTAATAGAGAGTTTAATATACCACATAAGACTCTAGGAAGGTATTGCATATCTAAAAGGTTGCCATCTTCATCTAATGCTTCGGTTCAAACTGAAGCAGAACTTAATTGCAAAGTGAATCCTTCAAATTCTAACAACGATAACGTACCTGAGTTTGATGTTATTGTCACAGTATATAAGCCTAACGCAGAACATAAGCCTAATAACACAGCTATAGGAAGAGATCACCTAAATTAGATAAAAAAAACCTTGGCACAAGTTGGGCTATGCCAAAAGATTTTAAGTACTTCTATTGTTTCTAACTGTTTTAAATGTAATTTAGTACTAAAACTTATTTAAACATTTAATAGGACACTTCAATATAAAACACTGCTATGGTATATTTAAAAATTTGAAAGACTTTGTTTAGAGACTGGGACAGATACCTATTACAATTTGTTATGTTTATGTCTAATGGTACATTTTATATTTCTTTAGGTATTTGAACCTGAGCAGGAAGTTTTGCTTGACAAGGTTAAAATTAACTGCTTCAGATATTTGGAACATTGATAACTGGAATCACAACACTGCAGCAACTTGATCATGTTGTTGCATGCAGAGGCTTTTGCTTGAGATATGACTATCTCTGAGGTACCTTAAAATATAATGGCGTGGTCAGTTACAGAGTGGGGTGCTTCTTTTCCTCAGAGTTTTTGTTTCATCAAGTTATAAAGTTGTTTTGCTTAATACTTCTTTTCCTCAGAGTTGCAAAAAAAAATCTTTTTTTTTTGGGAATAAAAAAAACAAAAAACTATGGGTTTTAAAAAAAAAAAAAACGTGGTTATTTTGGTTTAAACTCCTTTTTTAAATAAGCCATGTTTAGTCAACTTTTGCGATAAAAAAAAAAGCATAAGTTGTTTTACTTGAGTAAATTATATTTTCTATTAAAATTACTGATTTAATTTATCAACCAATACATCATTATATAATGAACAAGCCAAAAGTTGAAAAAATTCTCTCCATTCCAGCACTAGAAGCGGGTGCATTTAACAAACCTTCAATACCCATTATAATGTTGCAAAGATTTTAGAAACTTCAACCATGGTTAAATTTTACATTTTTAAAACAGATTTACTATACAAAGAGCCTTTATCGAATGGAGCAGATTTGGCTTTCAGCTAGAATATTCTTGGTAACAAGTTCTTAATTTCTTTATCTGTGAATGTCATTGCAGCTTCATTTTCATTTTTAGAAAGATTAGATCCAAAATATCTGGGATCTAATGTGTTTGCAAGGAAATAATAATCACTGACTATCTTGTTTTCAATATTATTTTTTTTTAGTCGATAAAAATGATATTAGCTCTTTAAAAATTTTAACAGTGTCACATTTTTTGTTTGATCTCTTTGCAACTTATCCAATGGGTTTAAATATTTTCAATAAATATTTTTGCATTTCTACTGATTGTGGGATCCAAGTCTCTATTTTTTTCAAACATTTTGATGCTATAGTTTAGCATCAAAATGTTTGAAATTTAGCAATTAAAAATTAATTAAAGTATTTTAAACATTTAATAACTATAAAAATTAAAATTTCTAAAATATAGTTAGTAAATGTTTAAAATACTTTAAAGAATTTTCAATAAATAAGTGCAAATAAAAAAGTATTTACAACTTGAGCGTTTATTAAAATCTTAAATAAAATAGTTTTTCATAGCGTAACTAAAGCAGCATATGAAATGTCTTTTACAATAAGAGACTATTTTAAATCAACTCATAATATTTGCATAAAACTAAAAGTGAACCCAAACAAAGTGATATTTGAAAATTATTGCCACAGCACCAGTTTTAACTGGGAGGGGAGAGAAGGCTACCACAAAAACATACTCTTCCCCTCCCAACATGCCAATAATTAATGCACCCGGCCCCCAAAACCCTTAATCTGGTTTTGTATATATATATGCATATAAATATATATATATATATATGTATATATATATATAGATATTTATATATATATATATTAGGGTGTGTCATACTTTGGTCAAAACTCAAAAATTCATATTTACCAGTGGCATTTTTTAAAAAAGAGTGAGGTTTAACATATGAAATTCAGAAATATCAAAAAATTTGAATTTAAATGAGTTTAAGCTACCAGGGAACTGCCTTGAAAATTGCCGAAAAGTGTGAATTTTTGATATTTTTATACTTTCAGGGTCATTTTCAATATTTTAGACTTATATCTGTTTTACAACAACCTTATCTTAAGAAATTAGGAATAAGGAAAAAAAAATAAGAAAGCAGGATAAGTAAAATTCATTTAATAGTTATACTGTTTCAGAAATTTTTATGAATACTTAAAAATTATTATTTTTTCAAAGTTTTGTGGCGTTTATTTACATCTCTTCCCCCCTATTTTTACTTTTGATTATGATAGAAAATTTTATGTTGATTAAGAATCGTATAAAAACATAGCTCTGAAAAATGAAGCAAAGTACTCTAATTTGATCTTGAAGTTTAAAAATTACACTAAAAACGCTATTATTCACCATCTTTTTTGTACTCTGTTATGATTAAAATTCATTCAAAAGTAAACTTTGAAAATAGCATAAACAACCTGGTTTTTCTTGTCAACAAAAAACGAAACTGTTTTTTAGTAGCTACTGATTTAGAGATAGGCAAGGGCTTCAAGGAAGAATAATGATATAAGTTGATACCTGCCCCAACCTTGACCCTTCGATGTGTTATCAACTCTCTTGCGAGTTCTCCCTAAATCAGTTGATGTATGTACTGAAGCCCTCGCCTATCCCTAAATCAGTAACTAAGGGCAAGAGGGCAAAAGTTAACAAACAGAATTTTACGCCACTATTCTGCAACATTACCTTTAAAAGTTTAATTAATTTTTTAAGTATAAAGAATAATTTATGTAAAAAAAAAAAGTTTATTTTTTAATTATAATTAATAATTGTATTTTTTAAACTATGTAAATTTTAGTATCGATGAAAATAAAAACCGGGTTGCATAATTAAAAATAAGATTTATAAAAAAGTGTTTAGTTGCATTTAAAAAAGATAGCGAATATTATTAGCGTTTTTTGTGTAATATTTTAAACTTCAAGATCTAATTAGAGTACTTTGCTTTAGTTTATATATATATATATATATATATATATATATATATATATATATATATATATATATATATATATATATATATATATATATATATATATATATATATATATATATATATAATTTTCAAAATTACTAGATACAAAGTATAATTAAATTTTAAATGGCTGCTGGAACAAGATGGAGAAATGATTCTTTTCTACACCAATATTTGGGATCTGGAAAAGAGTTGCCAACAGCTGAACTGCCAACACTGAGAGATGTCCTAAGATATGGTATTTTTTTAAGAGAAACAAGCAAACTAAACAGAAGAAACTATAGTAATTCTGATTTGATCCAGGATATTTAAAATAAACTTTCAGAAAAATGGCAAATGGCCCGTGTTTTATTTGTGCCTCCCGTAATTAGTTTAAAACATAATTTGGTAACAAGACTTAAAAGTTGCATGGAAACAAAGCTAACCTGATTTCTCAAAATAAAGCAAGTAAATTTATAAAACAAAAGTTTAATTTAATTATTGACAAACTATTTGATTTGGTGGAGTGTAACTGTAAAATATCTCTTTGTTCTGAGCAATGCTGTTCTACTGACTGTAAAGTTGGTGCCCACATTACCTGCATATGTCCTAGGGAGAGAAAAATACCAATAAATGAACTGGTTTATATAAAAGGTATG